AGCTAGTATTTTTTTTTTCTTAAAATAAGTGCATTTTTTCTTGAATTACAGGAGGTAAGTGAGACACTTTTCCAATGGAACAAGACAATTTACATTTAAAATAAGAAAAAATAATTATATTGTCTTATTTCAAGCACATTTTATCCAATTGTCTTATTTTAAGAGTAAAAATACTCATTCTATTGACAAATCATCTTATTTACCTACTCAAATTAAGGGTAAATACATTTAATGTAAGAAATGTTTACTTTATTCTGGATTGTTTTTGCAGTGTGTGAGCAAACTACACTGCAAAAACGATCTAAAAATTAGTAAAAATGTCTGTTTAATTTAAGTAGGTAAATAAAATGATTTGCCAATGGAATGAGTATTTTTACCCTTAAAATAAAATAATTAGATAATATGCACTTGAAAAAAGACAATATCATAATTTTTTCTTATTTTAAAAGTAAATTTTCTTCTTTTATTGGCAAAGTTTCTCACCTCCCCTGTAATTCAAGAAAAAATGCACTTATTTTAAGAAAAAATGCACTTAATTAAGTGTAAATCTGACATGTTATTTAGGTTTAGAGGCTTTGGTAGCGTCCTTCCCCTGAGCGATGAGCTGACTGATCATTCAAAGTATTGATGCTGTTAATGAGGTCAGCCTCTGCCCTGTGCTGCGTTCAATGGCTTCAGACGACCTCCCTGTGACCCCGTGGCTCCTCATCTCTGTCCAGACGGGCATCGATGCGCTCGTCACACTGGAATCTGTTTGTTCCTCTCTGCCAACCTTAGAACTGAAGCTCAGAGCTCCTCTGGCTGCTTCCTGTCCTTTAAACCCTCCCAGCCGGCTGCTGGTCCGCACCCTAGATCTGCCTCCAATAGAAGTTTGTTTCTGTTAAAACAGGAAAAATGGTTTGATGCAATCAGGCCTTTTGCAGCAGCTGGTATTTCATCTGCAGGTCCAGTAATCCTGGACTGGGTGAGCGGGTCATGGAGGCGATGCATTTCACAGCCCATCATGTCTGCTTTATAGAATCAACGTTTACTTGATGGAATCCACACAATTACACAGGAAATACTATCTAGATATAAGTAAAAACTGCTTAAATTAACTGTATTTACCATCAATTATTAATATTTGAGTAGCTACACTGAAAAAAATTTAAATCTAAATAAGTCATTTTTTCTTGCAATAAGCACATTTTCTTGAATTGAGGCGGTAATAGAGACATTTTGCCAATGGAACGAGACAATTTACATTTAAAATAAGAAAACACAATTGCATTGTCTTATTTCAAGTGCATTTTATCTAATTTTCTTATTTTAAGAGCAAAAATACTCATTCCATTGGCAAATTATCTCATTTACCTACTCAAATTAAGGGTAAATACTCTTAATTTAAGACATTTTCCCTCATTTTTAGATGGTTTTAGCAGTGTAAATGAGTTTGCCAATGGAATGAGTATTTTTACTCTTAAAATAAGATAATATGGACTTGAAATAAGAAAACGCAATTACATTATCTTATTTTTAGAGTAAATTGTCTTGTTCCATTGGCAAAATGTCTCTTTTACCTCCTCAATCCAAGAACAAATGCACTTATTTTTAGTGATGCACGATATAATCGGCCCCCTATCGGTATCGGCCTTAAAACTGAATATCGGACATCGGCCACCCCACCGATATTTAACCCGATATTTGATCAGCTTCTGAGTTTCTAAAGTCTAAAAAAATTAAATAAAATACTACTTCTTCTTCTTCCTCAAAACTTCTTTTTTACAGACTTAAAAACTTCTAAAGACGAGGGAAAAAATATGGATACATTAAAATATCCCAATATCTTCATATGCTGATATATTGCCATTTAAAAACACCATATCAATCTCTTTTACTAATGAAATATTGCTATATGTCATCGTTATGCTACGAAATCCCCCAAAAATTCACAAAATGTTGCCATATTTTTATATGTTGATATATTGACGCGGTATCGATCTATTTTACTAACAAAATCTCACAAGAATTTGCAAAATATCACGAGAGTTTGTAACAGAACGATGAAATTTCACCAGATTTTGAAAGAAAAATAGATCGATACCGCGTTTTTAAAAATCTATTTGATATCAGCATATGAAAATATATTTGAGTTTATTATTTTTCAAAGTGTCAGAAATGGATAACAAAACTGCTATTTTCAATGACTACTTATTTTTGTCCAGCTTTAACATCGGTATCGATATCGGTTATCGGCTACATGAGTTTTAAAATATCGGCATATCGGATATCGGCCAAAATCCCAATATCGTGCATCTCTACTTATTTTAAGAAAAATATCTTATCTAGATTTCGATTATTTCCATTGTAGATCGAACTTTAGATGTATATTTTCTAATAAAATCAAATAAGAAATGAGCTTTTGTTTTATGATCTATTGCTGTCTAATGTCCAATCAGTCGGAAACATTCGTTTTTATAAAAAAAATCATTAAATGTGAAAAGTTTGAGTTGTTTTTTTACTTTAACTGGAATTTTATTCACATTTTCTGAACTTTATTAAATTTCACTGGAGCGTTTTTGTCACACTGGGAAAACGATCCAGAAATAAGTAAAAATGGCTTAAATTAAGTTTATTTATCATTAATTTGAGTAGGTAGATGAGATAGTTTGCCAATGAAATGAGTATTTTTACTTTTAAAATAAGATAATTAGATAATATGCAGTTGAAATAAAACAATGTAATTGTGTTTTCTTATTTTAAATGTAAATTGTCTTGTTCCGTTGGCAAAATGTTTCTTTTACTTTCTTAATCCAAGAACAAATGCACTTATTTTAAGAAAAAAATGACTTATCTAGATTATGATTTTTTTCCAGTGCAGGAAACTTAAGAATGAACGCAGGAAGACGACAGGGTTTTGAAGGAAGCCGTTTATTTGTTGGTGAGGTGTTACATCTACATGGAGCTCTGTGGGGAAAAACGCTCCAGCTGATAAAAAGGTTTACAAAAAAAATCACAAACCATCCATCATTTGGCACTTTTTTTTTCTTTTTTTATCCATCTAGACAATATTTACAAGTCCCCACCCGGAGTGACACCCACATTATGAAAGTCACCGCCTGCACAGATTCCAGCTGGATCCCGATCCGCTCTGGGAATCCAGTTCAGCCACATGATGAGATCCGCCTCTTCCTCTTTAGTTCCTTTATTTGATTCACCAGGAGGAGGAACTGTTCTTATAACGTTACAGAAGCTGGTTGCACTGCAATCGTCTTGGTATTAAGAACTAAGAGCAAAGCTGTTTTCTAGAACAACAACAAAAAGACTCGACTCTTCTTCTTTCCAAAAAGCAAAAATTTGAGCGGCTTCAGTACCTTTAACCAGTCCATAGCAACACTCAATCTAAAAATAAGGAAAAAGTTTTACATAGGTGTGTTTGACCTTAAAATAAGATTATTTCATGTGATTTTTATACTTTATATGTAAATTATTCTGTTGGTTTATTTTCTTAGCTGCTCAAATCAAAGGACAAAACATTTATTTAAAGAAGAATTGACTAAGATTTAAATTTTTCAAGACTAAACGGAAGGGAAAAAAACTCAGAATGAAAAGATTAAGGTTTGATTTGTTAATCAGAGGACGTTAAAGTACCTTAAATAACCAAACTATAGTTAATGTTCACTGCTGCATGAAATCGTGAAATCACCATAGCAACGGTGCTACCAAGGAGGCGGCGCTCCGTGGTGACGGTGACCTCTGCGTGGTTAGCTGGTGGCGCTTCATTCAGGCCCAGAGACGCTTTCTGTCATGGAAACGCAGCCTGCATGGCTGACAGGAAACAGGCGAGGAGGTTCTGACCCAAAGGTGGGAGGAAATGATGTCATGGTTTTATTTAGGAGTTTAAAGTGACGTGAAACCGCCACCCTCTGGGGTCGCTGAGCGACGTCAGGGCTTCATCCAGTCAGGATGAGCGATTTATGACCGAGGGACCTGATGTAGGAGGACGAAACAAGCAAGAGAAACACTTTCCAGGCATTTCTGGACAGTCAGTGTTAACTTTTAACACTAGATTGGTATCTTTAGCTACATGCTAATCATTTTACACGCCATTCTCCTGAACCCAGCTCTATAAACAAGCTGGTAATAATGGGGCAAAAGGGGCGAGAATTCAATGAAATATCGGGGAACTTTAAACAAACTGGGTGATGATGATCGTTAATCCTTAATCCGCCTGACTGACCAATAGGAACCCTCCACCTATCATAACTAAACTCATGCATGAGGCGCTAATAACGCTCTGAGATGTTTTCTGTTTCCAGCAGAGGAGGCAGAGATGAAAGAAATCCAGGCGGACATGTTGAGACGCGCTGCAGCCGATCGCTCAGGCTGCAGATCAAGACTCCTGCAGGTGACAGGAAGCTTGAACAGAGAAAAGATTCTTCTAACTTTTAACAACGTCAACTGTTGATGCAGAAAAGGATTGATTCTTTGTTTTACGTTGAGAGTAAAATCCTTCTGTCATCATCTGGTTAGAAAAGAAAGCAAACAATGGCAGCAGGAAGGGCAGGAAAAACGCGTCCGATGCTCGTCATCTTTAAACGTTTCGGCTCCTGATGAGAGAAGGAAGTCTGGGCCGTTGGTGAAAGCAGGTCTGCGTTTGTTCATCGTCGTATTTCTTATCGATAGAAAACATGCTGGGATGTTAGAGGAGCGCCGTACGTTAATGCCCTGCTGGTATAGAGGAGAGTGGAACCGCAGCGCCGGATTAAACCAACATGGAGTCACCTAAAGTCCAAACTATGACACCATGTGAGCAAAGCAAAGGAAACATCTGCAGCTCAGGAAATATTAGTAGTACCAAATCATGACCAGCGTCCGTAGAAATATGTGCTAATAATCGGAGTCCTGCAGGGGGAGGAGCTCTGCTTCCAAATGCATCTTTAGCGTCTATAAAAATATAGAAATATAATCCCATATCCTGTTTAATTCATGTTTGTGACCCGCCGCTCGTTTTTAAAGTGAGACACGTCTGTCCGGATCTCCTCAGGAACTCTAGAAATACTTCATTTCACTTCCGCCATCGCTGGCAGGCATCCCGGGGAGGGATGCGTTCCGTCTGCCGTGCTTCTGTGCGTTGGACCGGTCCTGCCGTGCCCCGTGCGGAGGGATCAGTGCAGCCCGCCGTTGAAAGACTTCTCCAACCGTTCCAGTTCTGCAAAATGCGTGGAGATGGGCTGCTTGTAGAGAGGGTTGGAGGCCTGAGGGGATCAGAAGGGAGGGGGGGTTACAGGCGGCTGCAGGAGTGGAAAACATGTGGAGTTTATAGGAAGAGCTCAGAAATACTTTAACTCAGAGGTTTGTTTCTGCATGGATGTTAACCTGTGCAGGTATGAATGTGAAACGCTTTTATTTTAACGATATTCTGGATGAAAGTTTGTCAAAAATGGGTTTATTTATCAACTGAATTCATGTTATTCAGTCAAAAAGGGATTTTGTGATCTTTTATTGTTATAAATGTTGTTTTTTTTTTGCTATTTCTTTACATCTTGTTACCGTAGCAACCACTAAGAGTCAGTTCTTCCCCTTTCTTCCCTTTCTGTCTCTTACTGTAAGATGAATTAGGATCAGCTCTGTGTTTTCTTTACAAATCTTATCTTTTAACAGGTATTATAGATTAATTTAATTAGATCCGTTACTTCCTGTTAAAATGTTCCATGTTTTAGGTGCGATTTTAATTGGTATTTGTAATAATAGAGCTGCAACTTACGATTAATTTGCAAAAGATTAATCTGTTGATAATTTTTTTTTATTAATCAAACAATAATCTGATAGCTAAAGTTTCTTATTGGTGAAATTAAAAATGTTCCACTTCAGGAGTTCTGGATTGAGCAGATTGAAAGACGAAAAGATTTTTATCTTAAATGAATAATATTTATAAATATCTTTTCTACCATCTTGGTATAATTCCTGCTCCCAGTGGGTCGTTCTCTCAGCTAAAGGCCTGTTTTACAGTCTCTATACTCCAGTTAATGATTAATCAATTAGTAAATTAATTAATCTGATTAAATGTTTCAGCTCTACTCATAACTTTTGTTTTTCAGCTGCTCTTTTGAAGCCATTTCTCTGAAGTTTGTTTGGATTATTTATCGTCTTTTATTGAATATTTAATGGCAGAAACTGCTGGAGCTGCGAAGCACCAACTGGTTTAATCGTTTCTTTTTGGAATAAACACAGAGAACCAGAATGTGTCTGTTATGGAGTTAAACTCCCGCATCAGAAATAAACAAACGGGGTTTCACACGTTTATATTTTCCTATCTATGTATGCAAGCATTTATTTCAGGGTTTCGGCAGGTCATCAAAAATTATTAAAAATCAATAAAATATAATTTTTTAACCTCTTAAAACCCACTGGGTCGACCCGTTGGACCTTAAAGGAAAATTCCGGTTTTTAACACTTTTAGCCCCTTTTCTGTAGTGTCCAGGATGAAATCGAATGATCGACACCAAAATTTTGACAATTGGTCCTGTCTCTGCTTTTTGGCTCATTCAGAATCCCCCCCTGGCTGCTTTAGAATGGCTTCCATAGTGCATGTCAGATAATGTCCTTAAAACAACATAAACGTTCTTTTTTTAAAATATGCTACTCACCGGGTCGTCAACGCTGTTCAATGACGTTCAAAAACAAGTTTCGTAAAGAAAAAACGTTCCTGTAGTGTTTTATTTAGCAAGTGGAGATAGTAATTCAGAATGCATAAAATTCCAACCGGTAACATTTTTACCAGCAGGTGGAGCCGTTGCGCGCAGCTCCAAGCTGACACCTAAAGATCCAAACCCCGCAGCTCTGGAACTGTTATAGCTAGAGGACTGAAATTTTCTGCATTTGTGGTTGACATGATGTAGAACAAATATAGTACAATAAAACCTGCCTTTTCTCAAGAATGTCTTTATTACTGCTGTTCAAAAAAGACCTATCATTTCCGGAAATAAAAAACCCCAACTATGTGTCATGTTTGAACTGATGCAGGTTGGTCTGTGTTCTAGTCACCCAATTTTAATTTATATATTAGGAAACTAGAGGGTGTTAGCTTTCAAATAATGTATTGCACATTTAATTTGGCTTCCATTTAGGTATGCAAAATAGGCGAGGGTTACCCAAAATGAGGTGGATGTTAAGAGGCTAAATTAAGCCTTAACTGGCATTAAAATGCATTAAATGTGAATATGGTGACATTTAAAATGTTTATTTAAAAAAAAAAAAAGAAAAGTTTATTAAAAAAATGTTGTCAGATATATTATATCGCGATATATTTTCCGGTTCTTCGTAAAGCCGTATGTTTGGAAAAGAAGCTTGAGACGGAAAAAAAGGCTAGAAAATGGGAAAATGCAAATTTCAGTAACAGTGGCGGAAAAATGAGGAATTCGGGTATATATATATATATATATATATATATATATATATATATATATATATATATATATATTTTTTTTTTTTTTACAGTTTTGCTATAAATCCTGCTGTTCGCTCTGTCAGCTAAAGGCATGTGTCAAAATATCTATACTCAAATTATAAGTGATTGATTACTAAATTTGATTATTTCAATAACCGATTAATCTGATTAATTGTTTTCAGCCCTGATCAATACAATAAAGATGCGTTTTGAATCTAATTAGAAAGATCTTCCCACTCTCAGCCTCCTGCAGGCCTTCAGCTCGTTTGGTCCAAGGATAAAGAACCCTGGTGAGAGCGTAACTCCTGCATCCAGAAACCTGAAGGTTTGAAGGTTCTGTTAAACCAGAAGCACTACGTTTATCAAAGGCCTATCAAACAGCTGAGCTGCTGCATCCTGGGAAGGAATGTTTTCTGTTTTAGTCGCTTTCTTTCACAGAAAAGCAGAGAAAGTTTCCTCTGACGCCTCAGACCCCGTTTAGACGAAGGGAAAACGCAGATAATTCCCTGCGGTTTGGCCTCTCCTTTAAACCAAAACCCAGTTTTTATCACAGAATACGATTATTTCTAAAACCTCGGGCCAAAGTGAAGATGTCTGATAACGCTGGTTATGTGCCGCCGTGTCAACAGGGATAAACGGTAGTTTGGCTTCTTAAACGTCACATTATGCACCAGAAAATCCTTAACATCATGTGAGCGCCTGATGTTTACAGTTTATCATGACCCTCGACAGCAGATTTATGCAGGTTGATGTAAATGACGAGTTTTTTGAAAACAATGCTGCAAGGTGGTGTTATAGGGCTTGGTCTTCATGACGTAAGCACTTTGCGTCGCCGCCATCTTGATGGCCTCTTTTACCGCTGCTCAGACTACTGCCTATGACTACCGGGTACTGTACTCCCTCTCAGCCGTGTTTTAATTTGATTAATTTCACCTTAACTTGATTTCAACCATGGTAAACCGTTGCTGTATTGTGGGCTGTAACAGCTCAACACATGATCGCCATGGAAACATAGAAAATGGGTTAACTTTCCACCGCTTTCCTGCATGGAGGCGTAACCATGGAGACCAAGCATCAGAGATAAAGAGTCGTCGGCTAGCTTGGATCGCGGCTGTAAGACGACCGAACATAACTTTCCACAGTATTTCAATGTCATTGAGAGTGTGTTCCCTGCATTTTCATTCTGGTAAGTTAAAGATGCACGGTTTTATTTTATAGCCTACTTTGTGTCTTTCCTTCAAAGTTGGGATCTTTTACAGTAAAATAATAAAAACGGCAGCGGGAAAAGGCTCAAATACATGAGAAACCCGGAGGGTTGGCAGTTAACGTTACTAACTACACCTTTGAAACACATAGCAGCTAGTTAAAAGTACATTACATGCGTGAGTGGTTGTTAGCACTAGCGGTTAGCGGTTGCTAAACTAGCAGGTTCCAGAGCTTTGTACGGATTACTGTGTTCCCACTGTTTGCTGGCATTATGATGTGCAGCTCCTGAACCCATCCATTGATGAACTGCACATGAGACTCCAAGGACTTGTAGCTTGGGAACTGTTTTGAAGTATAGGCGCTCACTCATTGGTGCTCCACTCATTGTTTGAAACTTCATATGGATCCAAATGATTAATAATGCTGATTTTGTCAACATACCGGTCCCTGGCTTCTCTATTTAATGTGTCCCGGTAAATTCCAGATCCTTTTCGGGATTTTAACATCTTTTTTATCTCTCTACTTCTACGTATCTTCTTTCAACAACAACGTTGTGTCAGAGCTATGTTTATGTTTGCGTAGCAGTCAATATGACCGCGACGTCCCACAATGCAACGCGGATCCTGAGCCCTATTATTGAAAACTGAGGGGGAAATATTTGTTTCTCTAAATCTATCTGTGAATGTGGCGTCAGTGTTTGAACCAAACAAAAAACCAAAACATTCCTCTAAGTGGTAGAAAGTCAAAGACAGGAAGGTCCATCTCACCATGTGGTATCGGGCGCGCATGCGTTCGCTCTGGAAGCGGGCGAACTCCCTCCGGTCGTGTACGGTGATCACCAGTTTCCAGACGGCCAGCAGAACCATCCCCACCAGCAGGATGGTGCCGACCACAGCCAGTAACACCGTTAAGGCGCTGGGGGCGCTGCCGCACTCTGTGGGAGGAGACAAGCAGCCCGACACGTCACACGGTGACCAACGCTCTCAGAAAAGTGAGGAATCTCATTTAGGGGTGTAAACTCAGGACGTGTTGGGCACTGACCGGGCTCTTGGAGCGCGGTGAGGACGGAGAGTCCGCTGGCATGCTCGTGGTAGGTGAACTTCATCACGCAGTTGTTTTCGGTCTTATAGAGGCAGAGGACGGCTCCAGGCTCCCGTATCTCTGCACGACGAAGAAAGAAAGAGTTTCACCTCAAAGAAAAGCAGAAACACTGAGCCGCATTTTTAACAAAAAGGGGAAATAAAAGTTCATTTATGCCAAAATGTTGCAGGATTCTGCTTTTTTTACCTTGTTTATTTAGTTTAAACTAATTCTTATTGTTGCTTTAGTTAATATCTTTATGCTGCATTTTATTCTTTTATGCCTTTTTATTATTTTTTTTTTCAGCGACACTACAAAAACGTTCTGAAAATGAGTTTAATATTCTTAAAATAAATCTATTTACCTTTAATTTGAGCAGGAAAATTAGATCATCAGCCGATGGAATGAGCATTTTTACCCTTAAAATATGTTAATTAGATAATATACACTTGAAATAAGACAATGAAATGTTTTTTTCATTGTTTAAATGTAAATTGTTTTGTTCCATTGGCAAAGTGTCTCACTTACCTCCTTAAATTAATAGAAAATGCACTTATTTCTAGAAATACTGGCTTAAATCAATATTTTCTGCAGTGCATTAGCTGTTTTAAGGCACTGCAAAAAAATATTTTTATTTAATTGAGCAGGTGAGACACTTTGACATGGAACAAGACAATTTACATTTAAAATAAGACAATAAATTGCATTTTCTTTTTTCAAGTGAATATTATCTAATTATCTTATTTAAGAGTAAAACATCTCATTCACTGAAAAAACGATCTAGGAATAAATAAAAATTTCTTAAATTAAGTGTATTTACCCTTATTTTGAGCAGGTAAATGACATGATTTGCCAATTGAATGAGTATTTTTACGCTTAAAATAAGATATTTAGATAAAATGCACTTGAAATAACACGATGTAATTGTGTTTTCTTATTTTAAGTGTAAATTGTCTTGTTTCATTGGCAAAATATGTCTTTTACCTTCTAAATTCAAGAACAAATGCACTTATTTTAAGAAAAAATGACTTATCTAGATTTAGATTTTTTTCCAGTGTTCCATTGGGAATTATTTACCAGTTAAAATTAAAGGTAAATGCACTAAATTTAAGAAATTTGTACTTATTTCTACATCGTTTTTGCAGTGAATGTTTTACACACTGCAAAAAATAAGAAATAAGTAAAAAAATGAGCAGGTAAATAAGATCATCAGCCAATGGAATGAGTATTTTCACTCCCAAAATGAGATAATTAGATAATATGCACTTGAAATAAGACAAAGCAATTGTTTTTTTCTTTTTTTTAAATGTAGATTGTCTTGTTCCATTGGCAAAGTGTCTCACTTACCTCCTCAATTCAAGAAAAAATGCACTTAATTTGAGCAAAAATGACTCATTTAGATTTCCATTTTTTGCAATGCACTGCAAATCAATGAAGATAAGTGAAAATGTCTTAAATTAAGTGTATTTCCCCTCAATTTAATTAAGCAGGTAAATAAGATGATTTTGCCAAAGGAGTTAGTATTTTTACGCTTAAAATAAGACAATTAGATAAAATGCACTTTAAATAAGAGAATGTAATCTTTTCTCTTATTTTAAATGTAAATTGTCTTGTTCCATTGGCAAAGTGTCTCACTTTCCTCCTTAATTCAAGAAAAAAACACTTAATTTAAGAGAAAATTACTTGCTTATAAAAACATTTTTTGCAGTGTACAAATAAACTTAATGACATGTTAAAGAGGATTTTCTCTGGGATCATAAACTCTTCTTTCCTCTGATGGAGCCGCTGACATTGGGAAAAGACTCTGCCTGTTTTTATTCAATCAATCTTTCTCCACGCCTCGCCCTGTTCCCCTCCCTCAGGCCCTCCTCTACCTCATGCTGTAAGCATCCGGAGCGTACATGTGGAGCGCATTAAGGCCACTCGCATGGCTGACACCGCGGGGAATGCAGTGAAGACGTCAGATTTGGGCCACGGCCACGCCGGGTCCCTGCGGAACTCCTTCTCAGCTGAGCGCCCAAAGCTCAGACGGATAAAAAAAAAACATTCCCTAAACATCCAGAGAATGCTTTCTGTCATGGTGGGGGGATTTTAAGGACACGTCCACAGACAGCTCTGTTTTGTCAGGGTTTAGGCTCCGCCCACTGCCTTTATGAAACAACAGAAAAGAAGTGGTGCTTTGCAGCAGGTATGTTTGCTCAGTGGGTGGATGCAGATGACTGAGGAGGTTTGTTGGGATTTGAATAGAGCTGCTTTGAAGCAAATGAGAGGGAAGGAGAGGAGGGGGGGGTTCTCTGATGGGACAGAGGCCTGACTGAGTGAAGCTGAGCCTGAAACATCTGCAGAGATTCCTTCACTTCCTCGTCTAAAGAGGCAGAACTCAGCCTGCAGTGATGTATGGGCTAAGATTACTGTCATTAGAAACATGTAGGGGGAATTATAATCTAAAAAAATATCATCTTTTCCTGGTCAGCTCAGAAATATATGCAACATTAGATGTTTAAAAGGATAAATAACAGTTTCAGCTTTGCAAAAATACAAGAACAAGTTTACAACCCAGATGAGGCTGTTACACTCCTTACCAGTAGGAGGTGTCTTTATTCCCACTGCTGCTCAATGCGTTTTTAAGCCTTTGTTGTTTTTTTTTGGTTAAACTTTATTTAGAACTTTTCATATAGACAAAGGATAGATTTTTAAAGTTACCTTTTTAAAAGCGTGCAAAGAAAAAATGCTCAGTCAGTGTCCCTACCCCATCCGTCCCAGTAGCACAATCAGTACCATCAGCTCATCTGCGAAACCAGATATACCGTATTTTCAGGACTATAAGGCGCATATAAACGTCTTTTTTCCCCTCAAAATGTGCGGTGCGCCCTATGTGTGTTTTTACTGCGGACGTTGTTGAGACCACCATGAGAACGTTAAAGGGGGAAGTGTGGGCGTGGATTGTGTATAAAAGAACAGGTATGTGCTTCATGCAGAACTCCTGATTGAGGAGATGATGAAAGAGTGGCTGAGGGAGGTGAATGGAAGGAGACCAGGTGGTTTTTTCCACGCATCACCATCGCTGTTAATCTGTGACTCCATGCGTGCCCATCTCACAGCCGATGTGAAAAACATGGTGAAACAAATTAACGCTGTGCTTGCTGTTATTGCGGGAGGTTTGACAAAGGAACTTCAACCGCTCGACATCGGTGTGAACCGGCTGTTCAAAGTAATGCTACGTTCAGACCGGACGCAGCAAAAGCAGCAAAATCGCGTCTGCTGCTTCATTTTTGCTGCTTGTACCAGTTAGTTCTGACGTGCGGCTGAAGCAGCTTTGCTGCTCTGGCTGCGCGGTGCAACAGTGTGTCTGACGCGCGTTGGGCGGAGCTTCACTATCCTTTCTCTGCCTTGCAGCTATATTTGCTGTGATCAGTGGGAATAAAGTAGTTTTAATATGTTTTTAAGTGGGAAAATACACCCTAAAACTTAATCATTGCAGTCAGTTCATCCAGATTACCATCCTGCCTTCCAATATTATTTCTGTCGGAGCCGCTCAGACCCCCACATACCGGCGGTGCGCTGTCAGTAGGAATCCCATTCAACAGCAGCCTCTGGCCGGGTCGCCTCCTCGCGGTTCACCGCGGCAGCTGGTAGGTGTTTTTCATCTAAATAATCTAAACTGCAGGCACCAGGATAATAAAAGCGAACATATTCTGCTGGCAGATTTCTGCATTTTAAGTTAATTTATGCGTCAATAAACTGTTTCAGAGGAGTGATCACAGCGCTCTGTGTCTGTCTCACGGCCAGCTGCCAGGTTTGATTAATACTTTGTAATAAATACATGAATAAAGCACAAAAATACTCAGTTTTGCTCCCGCTCTATTTTTAAATACGCAGTAGAGGTATTTAAACGTAGTACAGGAAATGTACCTGTATATAAAACCGCGCCCTATAGTCCGGTGCGCCTTATGGTCGTGAAAATACGGTACATCCGGGTCGCCCTCCATTTTACTTTGCGAAAAAGACCTAAATTAAAATTTTCCTACTAAATTATAATGTGTTAAAGGTTAATAATGTATTACCTGGGAAAATAAATGCATTAAAATCTTTCTGTTTTATCACTTGTCTGTGTCTGATCTGTGTCGGTGCTCTGTCAGACAGCATACCCATAGTCAATATCCACGCGCAAGACGTCAGAGTTGCATTTATCTTTAGCTTTATAAGAAAAATTAACTTTAAACTACCTCAACAGGTGTGCATCCCTTTAGTCATGCACAAAAAAACAAACAATTTAAGCTCAGATCGCTATAAACTTAAAAAACCCCATCAAAACTTAAGTAATTAAATAGTTTTTTTTGTACATGACTAAAGGGATACATGCCTGTTGAGGTAGTTTAAGGTTTATTTTTCTTAAAAAACTAAAGGGACGCCTCAAAAAACAATCTAGAAATAAGTAAAGATTTCTTAAATTAAGTATTAAACCTTAATTTGTGCAGGTGAATAAGATGATTTGCCGATGGAATGAGTATTTTACTCTTAAAATAAATGACCAAATAAGCTCATCTGACAGAACACTGGATATGGGATCCTACGCTACTTCCTGGAGATTACTTTTTCAGCTTTGGATTTAAACATACATCTATTTTTTTTAGTTTTATTTTTCCTTTCATGTTAACATTATGGTATATAGTAACGGTCAGAGATGACTGCTCCTTTGGCTGATAGTGAACTGATGATCACCATACAGCAGCTTCTTGCAGTTTCCCTGGATTCTAATCATGGCTCCCAAGGCGACCTCCGCACATGGAAACCAGTCATAACAGGCAGACGGCCTCATGCTGGAGGCTGTCTGATTATCCTCTGGTTTTAAACACTTAGGTTCACCATGTGTGGAATGAATGTGAAAACAGGGAACTGAAAGTCAGCTCACAGAAACAATAAAGGCTCTGATGAAACTCTGAGAAACATTTCCCTGAAGTCCTACATGTTGCTGTTAGGTTCAAGTTTGCTTTAGGGTTGGGCGTGTTTTGGTGAGGACTGGGGGTCAGGGTAAGGCCATAGAAATGTGTAGAGATGAATGGAAGCCACTTCAAAGTCCTGCTAAGGATAGAAGACATGTTCCTGTGTGTTGGTTTTACTCACCGAGGCTCTCCATGGTGACGATTTTATCCTTGCACAAGCGCTGGCAGGTCTGGTTGTCTGCGAGCCGCCCCGTGTTGAAAAGCCGACACTCAATACACTCCCTGAGGCAGGAGGGACAAAGTTCACAGAAAAAAGCTCATCAGCCGCTAATCCACAAAAGATTTCACAACATGACTGAGCAGGTTCCATCACTTAAAACTATGTCTGGAGGATACGGCAGAGAAGGAAGACTTTCACCGAAACTCAACATCTGACCTAAGTTAGACGCCAGGCTTTCTGCTCTGTCCCTGTACGCCAAAAAAAAACGGAAACAAGGCAAAGGATGATGGGTAATTTTACAAAGCCAATCTGCATTTGGGAAAATAGGAGCAATTTACTCAAATTGCACAAGTTTCACTACCTAAATTGCCAAATAAACCGCAAATGAACTACGTCCTGTTGCGAAACATCAGTCTGATGCATCAACGCCTTCTGTTCGTGGGAAATTTGGGTTATTTCACAGAGAAAGATATATGTGATATATATATTATATATGTGATAGGGTGAACCAGGAAGTAGGAAGTTGGGGGCGGAGCTTAATTTTTAAAAGCCAGAGGGAAGCAAATCTGGGCCTTTCACTCAATTACTCCACATGGGTGTAGAGGGCAACTGGCAGCATTACACCGAGCATTGCAGGATGTCGCAAAAGTATTGCGGGATCTCACAAAAGTTTATTTTTTCAATACTTTTGCGAGATCTCCCAATACTTTTGCCAGATCTCGCAAAACTATTGCGAGATCTCGCAAAACTATTGCGGGATCTCGCAAAAGTATTGGGGGATCTCGCAAAAGTATTGCGGGATCTTGCAAAAGTATTGCGAGATCTCGCAAAAAATAAACTTTTGCGAGAGCTCGCAAAAGTATTGCAGGATCTGGCAAAAGTATTGGGAGATCTCGCAAAAGTTTATTTTTTAATACTTTTGCGAGATCCCCCAATACTTTTGCGAGATCTCCCAATACTTTTGCCAGATCTCGCAAAACTATTGAGAGATCTCGCAAAACTATTGCGGGATCTCGCAAAAGTATTGGGGGATCTCGCAAAAGTATTGCGGGATCTCGCAAAAGTATTGCGAGATCTCGCAAAAAATAAACTTTTGCGAGATCCCGCAATACTTTTGCGAGATCTCGCAAAACTATTGCAGGATCTCGCAAAAGTTCTTTTTTTCCCCTCCATGTCCCTTTAGGGACTCCGTAAAATGATTGTCATACTGAATGTTAAATATTTGTATCTTTTAGTGATGATTTGGATGCTGCTGAGCCGCCATCCACTGTTTTTTCCCTTGGTTAAAGTTTAGGCTGTGCATTAGTTGTTTGGGCCTGTATAGACTTTTTGGACTGTCAAATTGGATTGACTTAGGGGCACCTTTGCATGTTTTGTTTGGTTTGTATTTGGGCTTTGTTTGGCCGTGTCATATTGTTTTTATTGGTGTTTCCTAACTGTATATTTATTATTGCTATTTGCACAACCCCAATTCAGCCAATTGTATACTTGTCCTGTTTTAGATACAGCCCATCAATGAACTGCTTTGCCACATATTACATTTTTATATAAGATTTTAGAACAACTGATAATGAAGCTTTTATATTTCTGCAAATAAATGTACAAATATTTTACTACTAATTAAGTCTCTTTACATCTTATTTTACACTTGGTCACATATAGTAACCATATAAACCAAGTTAGGCTGCCAAAACTTGTAAATGTTAACTCTTTAAGTGGGAGACAGCAACTCTTCTCTAAGGTCCATCTAGAAATCAGGAGCTGGGATTCTGTGAAGCAGCAGGTTCATTTTCTTGCTGGATCTTAACTGTAAATTCTCCTTACAATATATCTGTCTGAATTCTGAATATGACCGGACTTTTCCTTTAAAGTTCAATTTCAAACATCTGAAAATACTTTAAATATGAAATTATTAGATACTGTGTTTTTATTGTTTTTAATTCAGAGTCGTTTTCATGTGAATATGCCTTACTGGAGGCATCCACCGACTCCATCCGGTGAGCTTAAAAGTTCAGGATTTGTTTCCTTCCTTGCTTATGGACTAGTAGAGATACGTTTAGTAACCGTCCATGTTCACTAAGTTGAGTTTGAACATAAATAGTTTGTATGCGCATTCATGTGGACGTAGCATTAGCAACATCAGCAGTTAGACATGGTTTGTTTTCCATTGTTTTATGGTCTCTTATGCAATAGGTAAAAAGTTGCACTAGTAGCAAGACTGTGTCTGAACGTCCGCCCTAACCCCTAAATCACTATATAGAGCGGGAACTATATAGTGGTCAGTTAACTGACCGTTCAGACAGATAATCACTATTTCTCGCTCCCTGTTGGTCACAGGACTCTACCTTCCCGCACGGTGTCTGCGCCATCTTTGTTCTCTCGACGCCACAACAAATCCCATGATGGTTTTCGAGGACAGCTTTCGCAAAGCTTTCTGGGATATACCTGCTCATCTAGTGACCATGGATCAGGGTTCCTACAGCATAAGGCAAGTTAAATTCAAGACTTTTTAAGACTTTTTAATGCCATTTGAAATATAAATTTAAGACCAAATTCACAAGAAACACAAGAAAAACCTGCTGGCGACAACTTAACCCAAAGGTCTATTTTAACATAAACCACTGCACTAATGTTTCAAATTTTGAAAAGCTTCCCATACAGGAAAAAAGCTAAAAACACACAAATGACAGATATATTTGAACAATTATTTAACTGAATTCACAAACTTTGTTTTAGCAGGGAACAAAACAAATCAGTTTTAAAGCCCCAACATAACCAGCGCTAAGTCTTTTTTGCAGCTATTTTTCTTTGTATGGTTTTCTTAGTATGTTTGATTTGGTGATAAGTGGAGGCGTTGCAGAGACAAGGCTGGAACTAAACTGAGAAATACCGGCTGTTTCTCTCTAACTCCATTTTGACGCTTTGTGTTTCGCGCTTCGCATGTGCGACTCCACTGCCTTAATTCCCATCGTTCTGAGCTTGAATGACTTCTTGCATAAATCCACTGAGCCTCATGTATGTTCCCTGGTTTTAGCCATGGAGAAAACTCTTGGTTGGAGACAATTTTGGTTACATTTACACTTGCTCATATTTTCCAGACAAAAAGTTAATGGCGCATCTCCCAAATGTCCCGGCGGCAACAACGCTTTATTGGTTCCGCTATCGGGATGGAACCAATAATGGCCAGCCGTTATTTTTTTTTTATAAAAAAAAAAAAAAAAAAAAAGGTCAATTTTAATCTTTTATTTAGATTACAAAAATAAATCGGAATAAAAATTATCCTATTTATGATGTTTTAAAAATTAAGACCTACGAAAGACTGATTTAAGACATTTTAATACAATTAAGGCCTTAGTTTTATTTTGAAGAATTCAATGCCTTTTAAGACTTTTTAAGGACCCGCGGGAACCCTGATGGATGCTCACTACTTTATCTAATCCACTACTATTTCATCCACTAGGTCAGAGGTCACGAATTAGCGGACCGTGGTCCAGATCCGGACCCACTTGCTGGCTAATTTAGACCCAACCTGATTTAAAACATTTATAAATTAACGCATGTTGTCCGATGACAGTGTCTCTAACTTTCTATGCGCCTCTTCTCCTGTTAATACGGTAAAGCCCTGGGGAGCGTCCGGCTCCAGACTGCACGTGATCCAAATGAGCCAATGAGCTGTCAGTCTGGGTTGCTGCTGCTGCTACTTTTAGACACAGCAGGCAAACCTGTGGCAAGCCGGGCGTTTGATAAAATATGAACGAACTGAACGATTGTTGTTCTCCACTTCAGAAAACACGTTAAGATTATAAAATGGAAAAATGTTATTTTTTTATATTTTGTATTTAAAACGTATAACATGGATGCATAAACATCTCATTTTATTTCAGTGTTAAATTCTGTTTAAAGTAACGGATTATAATTAAAAATGTCTCCGGACCTTTGCTGAGGATTTTCTTCATGCATCTGGCGCTCAACACAAAGCTCTCCTCCAAACCTCGTTTATTTGGTAATTTGATCAATAAAATAATCACTGGTGATAAAATATATTTTTAAAATGAGAATTCATTAAAAAAAGTGAGAGTTCCCATCAAATATTCATTAAAACTGGAAGTAGTTGTTAAATCCTTTAACTCTGATGCTATTGCTGGTTTCTGAATGAGTCTTTGGTTCTGGTTGGCTGTGAGCTCTACCTTTTGGTCCCGCAGGCATCGGGGCAGGTGGGGCATTTTTCGCAGGTGTCTCCAAACGCTCCCGGCTCGGTGCACTGACACCGGCCGCACACGCAGTGCCCACGCCCGCTACACATCTTCCCGTCATCCGAGAAGCAGGAGGACGTCTCTGTGGAGCAGTTACAGTTGTCGCCAATGTAGTTGGCGTGGCATTTGCATTCCCCGCAGTGGCATTCTCCGTGACCTGGATGAGACGAGAAAAAACGAACAACGGAAGTAAATAAGACAACGTGGAGCTGAGATTCTGTCCACAAATATTTGAACACATTTCATAAAACCCTGCGGTCGGACTCGAGGCTACACCCTCATGTAGGAACATTTCCACGTTAAGATGAGACTACATGAGGCCGTGGAATCAGAAGAGCTGTAATACTCATGTCTCACCAGTGAGTGGCACTGTAAAGCTGCAACGAACGAATGAACGAATAAATAAACAGACAAACAAAAACAAACAAGAACAAACAAGTTCAAACACACAAACAAAGGAACAAACAAACAAACAAAAACAAACAAGAACAACAGGTACGAACACACAAAGGAACAAACAAGCGAAGCACCAAACAAATAAATAAAAACAAACAAACAGGAACAAACAAGTACGAACACACAAACACAATAACAAACAAACGAATGACCGAACAAACAAACAAACAAGAACAAACAAGTATGAACACACAAAGGAACGAACAAACAAACAAGAAAAAAACAAGTACGAAAACACAAAGGAACAAACAAATGAACGAGCAAACAAACAAACAGACAAACAAAAACAAACAAAGAACAAACAAGTAGGAACACGCAAAAGAACGAACAAACGAACGAACAAACAAACAAAAACAAACAAGAAAAAAACAAGTACGAACACACAAACAAAGGAACAAACAAATGAACAAACAAACAAACAGACTGAAACCTTCTAAATACAGAAAAATTTTAAAAGTAAATTTGCTGTTTTCTCCGATTTTTAATTCATTTATTTTTACAGATCTTATATTTAAGCATTTTAGTTTTACAAATTGTGTTTTTTCTTATTTCTCTTTTACAGTTTACAGAGTTTGTTTAAATTGCATTGGGGCGAGTTTTCCTGAGCGAATGTGTTAAAGTCTATAGAATTAATTCAAATTAAGCTGTTAATGTTTTATTAAAGTAAAAGAAACTGATGAGAGTTTGTTCCTGACACATTTTATGGGGACAAATTGATAAAAGAGGAGTATAATAATATTTATGCTCTGTTCTTTTTATAGTGGGATTTTCCCAATTTGAGTTTCAATGATTTAATGATCTAAAAACCAAAGAAAAATTAAAATAAATGGTTTATTTTACCTGAAAACATCTAAATACTCATTAAATAATGTTATCAGTAGTTCAAACTGTGCAGTAAATTTTATTCAACAGTTCTTATGAATAATAAGACTCAGTTAGCTCGTCGTTAAAGCAGCGTTGTTCTGCTGCAGCAGCTGGACCTTCCTAAAACCACAGCTGACCTCTCAGAGCCACAACCATCGATGAGTAGAGGTCAGGCTGCAGAGCGAACTGAAGGGAAACAATTGGTTTCGGCCAACATGGAGCCCATCCATTAGCCAAGGGCCGCCCCTCTGACAAGAGGAGGCCCTGATGGTCCAGTTGGGCTCAGCAGTAGATTTATTGCACCAGAACGTCCACAAAGACCTCTTTCATTAGGCTGCTATCTTAGCTGGATAAAGAAAAAAAAAAACATTTTCACCGCATTTTCAAAGGCTAATTATTTAGCAATGTTCAGTTAAAGATTCTCTACTGCAGATGTTTGCTTGTGTCCCCAAAAATAAAGCGGATGTTCGGGATTCTAAAGCTGCTAAATAAGCGAAAAACAAGCGTCCATCTGGAACGGAGGAGGAGTCAAAGCAGAAGGTGGCTTCATCTGAGCCAAGAAGCTCCTGACAAATGGGAATCCACTGAGAAATGGATGCGACCTTGAGTTTGTAGATTAAATAATTCAATTCAGTTTATTTCTATAGTGCAATTTCACAACACATCATCTCAAGGCACTTTCCAGTTCAGCAGATCATCCAGTCAGACTGATTCAAAGTTTTCTATCTAAGGGAAACCAGCTGATTGCATCGACTCATTGACTCTTCAGCAATCCCTCACACTAAGCATGTAGCGACAGTGGAGAGGAAAAACTCCCTTTGAACAGGAAAAACCTCCAGCAGAACCAGGCTCAGTGTGAGCGGCCATCTGCTGAGGCCCACTGGGGTTCGAGGAGACAGAAGAAGACATAACAATCGACTTCGTCTCATCTATTCATCTGCCTTTTTTCAGAAGTTTTCAGAATGTCTAAAACAGCTTCCAGTCTTCCCACGAATCTACGTCTCAGCAAATTCGCTCCAAGGTCAAACTGTGCAGAGTGGAGAACAGGACAGGTTGTCCGATCCCACCTAACAAGACCAGGGAATTTAGGTCAAGCTTTTTAACCAAAATCAGCAGAAAGCCTAAAATGTGAGGTTGTATCGAACTTCTGGCCAGAGAAAAAAACCCGTAATATGTAGCCAACATTTGGAAGAAGAATGTTTTCAAGATGACTTGGATAATAGCGCATTGTGACAAACACCAGATACAGCACTGGGACTTGATCAACAGCCGATACCGCACCGTGACGTCACTAACCAGTAGGTGGCAGTAGTGTTCTTTGACAAACATGGATGCCTCCAGTAAAGCACATTCACATGAAAATTAATCTGAATTAAAAACACTGATCATTTATTGAACAGGATGGAATCATTTCATATTTAAAGAACTTTTAGAAGTTTGAATTCTGAATATGAGCGGACTTTTCCTTTAAACCACTGTGAGTCTGATAGTGAACATGGACGGTTCCTAAACGTATCTCTACTAGCCCATAAGCAAGGGAGGAACTCTGAAACTAACAGTGAAACTCCAGAAATGTCCAAATCCTGAACTTTTAGGCTCACTGAGGATGGAGTTCTGATCCTCCAGGGTTGACTTTAGGAGCGGCTTCTGCGTCGGTCTAAGAGTCTTTATGAAAGTGTAGAAGTGAAGTAAAGGAAACCAGAGTCCTGTACTTAGAGCAGAACCTCGTAGAGGTCAGGGACCCCTCCAGGAGGAAGTGTTTGGTGTCATCAGGCCAGTGGTCATTATTGTGCAACACTCTTATTCGTCTAGAATCTTAGACATGCCGTCATTTTTCTTCCTCCTTTTTTTATTTACACCAAAACTTTGAAGCTGTGAATTTTTGACACTGATCCCATTAAGCCGTTATTTCCCATGCAGGGGTCTGTAGCACCACTCCCAAGCTTTGCTCAGAGGCTAAACTCATGGCATCAGGGCTGGGAACCTGTCCTTAAATGACTGTTTGGCCGCTCAGAGGGATGACGGGGTTTTCTGCCTCTAAGTGTGAAGAGGATAAAAGGAGTAAATGCAGCTGCTAAACATGGGCAGGTCTAGGCTAGCTGCTAGCTGCCTTCAGTCCATAAACACCTCAGTGCTTATTAGATCGGTGGGGGAGGCGTTTGGCATCCCGTCTGCTTCAGAGTTCTGGAACTCTCCCTTTTCCAAAATGGGATGCAGAGTCATCCTATCAGCCCCCCCAATCACTCAGCAGCACGGGCGCCATTTAGCATGGATGCTAAACAAGCAGAGACTCTGGGTGTATTTGCATGTGAGACAGGATGGGCTGCTGCCAACATCTACTAAACCTCAACTTTCTACGTTTTTTACAAAATTGGTCAAAATTGGTAGATTTTTGTCTTCAGAATATAATCTGTTCTGTTAACAAGACTTATGGTGTTTATTGCTTCTTTATCTAATCTTACAGAAATGCCATCATACTCTAAACTGCATGGCTTTTCGAGAGAAGGAAGGTTCTGCAAAAACAGTCGACTGCAGCCTCTTTATCCACCAGGACTATAGACGCCATGAAGGAGGGAAAAACCTCCTAATCTGTTTGTTTTTATTCTGGACGGAGCCTCTACATCCGGTGCTACACAAACAAACCAAGTAAAAACAAAACGAACTCTATGAACTAAAGAAAACTATTTAACACCATAAAACATTCAGTGACACATTTTTCCAGCCTGTTTTTTTTTTTAGTTTCAGCTAATTATGTATAAAGTCATGCATATGATAATTAATATAAGAATGGGAAGAAGATCTTTTAGTTATCAGGCTCCAGCTATCAGTTTTAGTCCGTGAGGCAGACACCCTGTCTACTTTTAAGGCTAGGCTTAAAACGTTCCTTTTTGATAAAGCTTCTAGTTAGAGTGGCTCAGGTTATCCTGAGCTATCTCTATAGTTCTGCTGCTATAGGCTTAGACTGCTGGAGGACATAGGGACCCCTTTTTCATCATTCTGCTTCATTCTATCTCTATTCTCCTATTCTGCAGAATCTGTTATTTAAATCTCTAACGTTCTGCTCTCTCTGCTTTTTCTGATAGTAGCTTCATCTGGTCTGTTCCTGTTTGGCTGTGACTCCATCCTGGAGAGAAATATCAGCTGTGCTGCTGCCATCAACACCTTTGTTTCTAGATGTTGGAGCTTGGCCTGTTTTCCAGTGTAGTCCTGTTTCTCTGACTGTGACTAACTGGATGTGCTCTCTTCATCCTCTGACATGGGAGCTGGCTCGGAGCTCGTCTGCCTGGCTGTGTGTTTCCTGGACGGGGCCGCCTGTGGAGCTGGTTGTCAGTTGTCTTTTGTATCTATGCTTCTTTTTCTATGTCTGCTTCTGTCTCCTTGAACCCCAGTCGGCCTCGGCAGATGGCCGCTCACACTGAGCCTGGTTCTGCTGGAGGTTTTTCCTGTTCAAAGGGAGTTTTTCCTCTCCACTGTCACTACAAGCATGCTTAGTGTGAGGGATTGCTGAAGAGTCAAAGAGTCGATGCAATCAACTAGTTTTCCTTAGATAGGAGACTAAATCCATTTGATGGTATGATCTGGTGAATAGTAAAATGCTTTGAGATGACATGTATTTTGAATTGGTGCTATAGAAATAAACTGAATTGAAATTAATTTAAATCTTTGTGCTTCCATACTAAACTAGAGACCAGCTGACTGGAAAACCTGCAGGACTCAAACAGTAATCAAAGGCTGCAGTAAGCCTTCCTCGGTGGCATCCCTCCTCCAGAATCGTCAGGTAGCTGTGAACTGACGTAGACCCCGTCTAATATGACACTGGCAGCTTAAAGAGATGCA